ACCAGTGTTGGTATGTCTGCACTTGGATATAGGGATGCAATTCCCAGGTTGAGAAGACAAACTTCCACTAGTTCTGATCAAGATCATACACTAAAAAATATAGTGTAGCTGTGGTGGTTGGAGGGGCTAGGTGCCTTGACTCTGTACCCATCCAAGACACTGGGCACACATGCAGACGGGTAGCCCCTCCTACTGCTGGCACCACTGGAACTAACCCAGCCCAAGATCACAGACCACAAAGGTAATGTAAAGCCACCTTTGTACCTCCTCCCGCTCCTGTGAGTTTCTTGGTGGCATCTGAGGGTATAGATGAAGATTTCTAGAATGCAATTCTGGTACTGCAGTGTTCACTAGATGATCTCTAATTTGGGTGTATGGAGGTCATCCAATATTCCCTTGACTTTTACCATAGTCCCTCTCTTTCTATAACTCCTCCTGCATGACTAAAGGCTGACCTTGATGGAATCCATTTCCCTCATAGAAATTGTACCCCTTTATACCTGCTTCCCACTATTTAGCTGGCAAGTGCTTATAAAATCTTCCTGGATCATGAAGTTCATTAAGGAGCTGTGACACATGTTTAATGAGGGAAGAGTAGTATCACCATGTTGATGCTTCCAGGGAGTAATAAACAGGAGTCTACATGACATCAGCATTGGTAGGGATGGTGTTACTTTTATACCTTCATTATAGTGCTACCGTAGTGAGGATTAATCAGTATATCTGTAGAACTCTGTGAAATATAGTTAATTACTCTCATGGGTTCCACGGCCATGTAGCATAAGCAAATAACTCCCACAGTGAGGAGCTATAGAGCCAATGTCATGAAGTCATTAGCGACCAATTACATTTTAGCATGATTTCCTCTTTCCACCTATAAGCCTAATGAGAGAAAACCACAACAGGAGAGACTGCTGCAAGAATAAATGACTAATGGAAGAAGGAAGTTCCTATAACACTGGTCTACAATTTTTGAGAAGTCGTCTGCTTCAGAGATAAAATGTGCTATTTATTATGTATTTTGATGTGCTGAATTCAAATATGACAATTAAAACAACTGATTGGCTACTGTTTCTAAGATATTTAAGTTTTTACATTTTATGTCTTTGTATATCGTGTAGATAGTAGAGTTTTAATCATAAATTGTAAACCTAGGTCTTTTCATGTGTTTATGGTTGCTTTGCATGATAATATTTCACTTGTCCTGTTTATGTAACACTTTAAAAATCAGCAAAAGCATTATATAAATAAAATTGATTATGAAACAAAAAGGCAAAAAACTATTATGTACATAGTTTAGTCCTATTCAGTGTCTACTCGGTGCTTCTTGGCTTGTCTCTTGTATTCATTAAATGGAGCATCTCTTGTCACTGTCCAGCAATAGTCTGCAAGCGTTGATGGGTTCCATTTGCCCTG